TCAGATTAAATAAAGCTGCCTCTGGAAGTCTGACTAAAACGTGTCGGACAAAAGTTGTAGGGTTTTTGTTATGGAAATTCAGCAGTCTTTAGGGCATCCTTGTGTGTTTTCTAACATAGATGTGCCTAGATTTGCATTCTGCTTTGAACTGTGCTATCATTTAAAGATTTTTCTAAAGAGAGGATACTGGTAACACCATACATAGATTTTTCTGATGAAGTTAAAACATTTGCCTGACCTTGAAATGTTGAACTGTGCATTTGGGAAAAGATGGTTAAGATTTCTAGACCGCTGAATTTAAAAATTCAGCTACAGACTTCTAGATGGTATTTAATTTATTTTTAATCCACAATTTTGGACTAAATAATAAACCTTTGTAGTCACATAGTGAGGTCAGTGGCCCTGGAAGTTTTACGACCTGTGTGTCCCCTCTAGAGCCAAGGTTCTTGTTGAGTGTTTCAGGATTTGCCAATTTAACAGGCACCGTTGATTCACCAGTTCTACTTCAGTGCCTTTTCTCTTCCTCCTTGCTCGTTTTCTGTACAACCAGTGCTTCCCAGCCTCCCTGTGGCACACAGCTGATGGGCAGATGATGTTTGTAGGGTACCTGAGGGTAAACAGAAACGGCCTGTTGTGGCCAAAGGCAGCCAGCCAGGGACTTTGAGGGATCAGCAGCTCTGACTCCTGTTTCCCAGGCTCACACAGGTCGGATTTGGAAGTTCTACTTTACAACTACGATTTAGGCCTCCATGGAATTAGATTTCTTTACTGCATTATGAGTAGCTGTTAGTTATTTTAAGTGGAATTGCTTCAGTTAAAGGTCTTACAGTGTCCAGGTTCTCAAATGGGATAAATGTGTAGAGTTTTATTATTAATAATCCTTTATAACCTACACGTATTTTTCTTTTGGTAGTATGCTTCATAATAAAAATTAAAAGTAAAGAATATTTAGAAAGAAAAGGTCTAAGCACAGTTCTCATTCTTGCCTCTAGTTGTATTACTAATATTTTAGCATTACAAGAGTAATATTAGGAAAAATAGGGGGGAAGGAACATCTATTATACCAATCTCCTAATGCAATTATTTTATTTACTTTCTTTTAATATAAATGTTCATTAATGTTTATGTTCTTAGTTTTAATCACAATGTATGTAGCTGTATATCTTTATATTACACAGTGTACTGATGTTGTCTTTATAGACATTAGTTTTAATTGCTGAATAATATTCCATGAGTAGTTAGTATTACAATATACTAACTATTCCTGTGTGGTAGAATGTAAGTCGTTTAAATTTTTTCTGCTGTTACAGAGTATTTTCAAGATTCTTGCATTCATTCCATAAATAATTTGCTAAGTGTAAGGCATTCTGCTACATGTTAGCATTATAATGGTAAGCAAAAAGCCATAATCTCTGTTCTTGTGGAATTTAGCAGCTAATTCCTGATTGTATTTTGCACGTTAATTGTAAGAGTTTTTTAAAAACCTGTTCATCTTGAGAGAATTGTAGATTTCCATGCAGCTGTAAGAAATAATACAGAGAGATCCCATGTACGCTTCATCTGTTTTCTCCCAATGGTCATACCTTGTATAACTAAAATGTGTCACCCCAACCAGGAGATTGACATTGGAACAATCCACCAATCTCACTCAGATTTTACCAGTTTTGTATGTATTCCCTTTTCTGTGTGTATACGTGTGTATATATGCACTTTTGGTTTTTATGCAACTTTATCACATATGTGGATTGGTGTGACCACCACCATAGTCAAGATGCAGAGTAGTTCCATCACAAGAACCTTCATCACATTCTGGTTTTTTTTTTTTTTTTTGAGATGAAGTCTCACTTTGTCACCTCGCCTCGTGTGCAGTGGTGTGATCTCAGCCCACTGCAACCTCTGCCTCCCGGGTTCCAGCTATTCTGCCTCAGCCTCCCAAGTAGCTGGGGCTACAGGCGTGTGCCACCACGCCCAGATAATTTTTGTATTTTTAGTAGAGACGGGGTTTCACCATATAGTTCAGGCTGGTCTTGAACTCCTGACATCGTGATCCGCCCGCCTCAGCCTCCCAAAGTGCTGGGATTATAAGCATGAGCCACTGCTCCTGGCCCGTCATATTCTTTTACAGCCACAACTGCATCTCTCATTCTTTCCCTCTCCCCTGGCAACCATTAATTTGCTTTCTATCTCTGTAATTTTATTATTTGATGTTATATAAGTGAAATTACATAGTATGTAACTTTGTGAGATTGGAGTTTTTCACTCAGTGTAATTAATTTAAGATTCATCCAGGTTATTGTATCTCTAGTTTGTTCCATCTTATAGCTGAGAAATATTCCACATGGATGTGCCATATCCATATACCTGTTGAGTGACATTGGAGCTGTTTTCAGTTTGTACTATTATGAACAAAGCTGCTATGAACATTTCCTTAGCTTTTTTTTCTGTTCCCATGGAACTGATTGGCAGTATTTTGATGATTATGTGTGAAAGGAAATTAGTTAAGACTTCAGGCCTCTGTACCTCAGCCATTAGTGTCTAGTCCCACATTTGGGGTATCTTTGTGGAATCCAAAATAAGCCTTTAATGAATGGCATGATGTTTTGGCTTCGATAGTTTGTGCCTCAAAATATATTCATTTGCCTATATAGCTAAAATTGTCTTTAGTTCTCATGTCTGTCCATTGTCTTAGTCTATTGAGGCTGCTATAATGAAATATCATAGATTAAATGGCTTATAGAAGAAATATATTTCTCACAGTTCTAGAGGCTGGGAATTCCAAGATTAAGGTGCAGCATATTCAGTATCTGGAGAGGGCCAATTTCCTGGGTCATAGACAGCTTTTTTATTTATTTATTTTTTTGTTATAACTGCTGCATGTGGCAGAAGAGGTGAGGGGCCTCTCTTGGGCCTCTTTTATAAGAGCACAAATCCTATGCATGAGGGCAGAGCCCTCATGACCTAATCACCTTCCGAAGGCGTCACTCCAGGTACTATCAACTTTGGGGTTAGGATTTCAGTGTAGGAATTCGGGGGTATCTAAACATTGAGTCCATTGCATTTTTGTAACAGTGAAGCATATTCTGTTGCCATCTTTATTGTGCTTTAGAAATTATAAGAGTGAAACTGATTTTCTGTTGTTCGTCCCTTGAGGAACACAGACCTGTCAGGGGTGCTGTTTAAGGAGGGCTTTCCTCATAGACAATCAGTGAATGCCTTTGATTCTTAGAGTTGATTGAAGGTATTTGGAAAGGATAGAATACGCAGAGGGTGGATAAGGTACACTTGGACTTTAAACCTAAAGTCCTGATCATATTACTTAACTCCAGAAATTAAATAGAGCTCTAGATTTTTGAAGTCTCCTTGAAAACTAAGGATAATTGAATAGCGATGACAGCCAACTGGACTTGTTGTATGTTGAGAAAGGAGCTGGATTTTTCGGCAAAGGAGGCTGAGGAGAGGAGTGACTCTGCAGTATTCCTGCCTGACACTTAGAGCAGGTGTCTCCCTGCCTGCCATCCCCATACACACTCACATGTATGCGCTCATGCACACACACACGTACCGTTAACTCCTGTTCTGCTGCTTGGGAGACTCGTTCTGAGCGTGTTTTCTGAAATCTCATGAGTCTAAAATAGAAAGCACGTGAAATACATGGAAGAATGTGTCTTGTGTTGTTTTTATTTCTTTTGAATGAGTGGCCATGATCCCCACTTTCTGAGGAAGATATGAAGTCCAGGAACCCCAAGGGCTGAGCAGACACTTTGCTGTATCATTGTAGCTGGCGCTGGCCACAGTGGTGACTGAGCAGGATCTGCCCAGAGACTTTTGGTCAGTGGTGGGAGAGTGCACCATAGGGTTAACGTGGCCTCGTGGGCCCTCTGTTGATAAGCCAACAGTTGTGGGCCCTGGAAAACAATTCCGTTGTTCCAGTTTGCTCTTTTTTACTTTTTGATTCTTTTTGTCCTATTACACTCAGGGGAAAGTCTGAAATCTTTAACTGGAAATAAAGTGTAAAACCTGATCCCTATGTGGTCTGGTCCCTGCCGCCTTCTCTGAGACCCACCTGGTGTCATGCAATTCATTCCCGCCGAATCCACTTAGGCCACCTTCCAGGCCTTCTATCCATAGCCTCATGCTCCTGCCCACCACAGGCCTGTGGTGTGCGCTGTTTTTGTTCTGCCTGAAACACTGTGCCCTGTCTTTCCCCCATCTGCATTTTTCGGGTGTGCCTGTGCACCCCTCAGATACTGGTTTAAACACAACTTGCTCGCGGAAGCCTTCCTTCACCCATCAGATGTCGCTCAAGCCACTTCTATGTGTGCCTGTAGTACCATGTACATTCCTTCACTGCATTCATCTCCATCTGTGCGATGTTTGTTGACTTGATTTGCTGCTGTTGGTGTCTCCCACCTGACCCTTGGGAAGACAGTGACCATATCTCTTTGTGCACTGTTGACTCTGCACTGCCTAGTACAGTATCTGATACATAGTAGCTGCTCAATAGATACTGGTTGAATTAATGAGTTAAATCAGGGAAATGGCCACTCCCTAAAATGTTTTCAATTGGCGTGTCAAGGAACTTATTAAAAAATGGGGGCCAGGCGTGATGGCTCATGCCAGTAGTCCTTGCATTTTGGGAGGTCAAGGCGGGTGTATCACGTGAGATCAGGGGTTTGAGACCAGCCTGGCCAACATGGTGAAACTCCATCTCTACTAAAAGTACAAATATTAGTCTGGCGTGGTGGCATGCACCTGAAGTCCCAGCTACTCAGGAGGCTTAGACAGGAGAACTGCTTAAACCCAGGAGACACAGGTTGCAGTGAGCTGAGATTGTGCCACTGCACTCCAGCTTGGGTGACAGAGCGAGACTCCATCTCAGAAAAAAAATAAAATAAAAATGGAATTAGTGTCTATTTTTAAAGGTCCAGTTATGTGCTCCTATAAAATTCTTAAACTGTCATAGAGATCTGTTAACTAATTTATATATTTTTTTCTTTTAGGTGGGGACCAAGGCATACTGAACACATTTTTTAGTAGCTGGGCAACAAGAGATATCAGAAAACACCTGCCCTTTATTTATAACCTCAGCAGCATCTCTATATACTCCTACCTCCCAGCATTTAAAGTGTAAGTGCAAATGGTTTAACTATTGTTGGAGATGTTGAGGGAAGAGAAGGGGGGTGTAAAATTTGGGGGCTGCCTCATTGTCATTCTGAGGGAAATAACAGGTAGATACTTTGAGGAAAGTTTCTCTTATAAGAACCGTGGCTGCAGTGGGGAGAAACCTTGATGTTATTGATTGCCTCGTGCTTGACCCTAGGGTACTTAGCTGCCTTTGGGACAAGGTTCCCATCAGTTTCTGGGGTTCATGGCCCTCTGGTAAGTTATTCATGTGTCATGGTCAAAAACACAGACTCTTAAGTTCTGCAGACTTACAACTTGGAGGAGTTGAGTTTGTGCTCTAACTCAGTGTCTTCCCTATACTGTCTACTGAGCCTTGGTTTCCTTCACCTGCAAAAAGGTGTTGAAAGCTCCCTCAGAGTTGTTGTGGGGATTAAGCCAGATGCAGGCAGCAGTGTTGCTGCTGTGGCTAAGAGTAAGGACTCCGGAGCTAGCTGACCTCACTTCACATCCTGCAGTGACCACTTCCTGGATGGTGACCTTGGCCTACTTACTGAACTTCTGCCTCCATGTCTTCATAGGGTTATTGTGGGCATTAAGGGAGGTCATCATGTAGCATGGTTAGAAGAGGGCCTGGTCTACCCAAGTGCTCAGTACTTGTTAGGTTGTTAGTCATTTTTGTTTGAGAGAGGCAGTATAGTGTTCAGAGTAAGTCATAAACCAGAAAGGCAAGGCATATGTCCTCACTCTGCCATTTATCTGCTACATGACTTAAGACTTGGTGCCTCAGCTCCTCCATATGTAAAACAAGGAAGAAAATAGTACCTACCTCACAGGGTTGTCAGGAGGATGAAGCAAATTAATACATATAAAGTGCTCAGTGGACATTTGTTGTTTTTGGTAATGTGCTTGTTTAGCACAGTCCCTGGTGCAGTTTTTTTTGTTTTTTTGAGTCAAAGTCTCACTTTGTTGCCCAGGCCGGAGTGCAGTGGCATGATCTTGGCTCACTGCAACCTCTGCCTCAGGGTTCAAGTGATTCTCCTGCCTCAGCGTCCCTAGTAACAGGAATTACAGGCATGCACCACTACACATGGCTAATTTTTGTATTTTTAGTGGAGATTGGGTTTCACCACATTGGCCAGGCTGGCCTTGAACTCTTGACTTCAGGTGATCTGCCCACCTTGCCTTCCCAAAGTGCTGGAATTACAGGCGTGAGCCGCTGCTCCTGGCCTCTGGTGTAGTTCTGATACACCTTACAGCTAATACAGCCCTTGTTGCAATGTTTACCTCACTGTTAGGGACAGGATCCTATTATTTAGCCTCTGACTCATTTGTGTTTAACAAAGAGGATGATTTAGATTTCTTGAACAGGGGCCTAGCTGTCAGGTTGATCCTGAGACAGTCGTGAGCAGCAAAGCCCTTCACTGAGTTGGGCCAATCTCTGTCCCATATGGACATTCCTGAGTTAGCGGAAAACAAAGAGCCTTTCACTCCTCATATTTCATTATCCAAAGTGCTTTCCATAAGTCTTACACCACAGTAATGAGCATGTCTGGCTTTTTGTAGCAGCAGTGTTTCCTTTTCTGTTCTTTTCTGGGAAGACTCTATCAACGTCCTCCAGATAAGGATTAGAAGCATCTTGTGTTCTTTCCTCCCTAACTGTTCCCTTGGCATATGTCTCCAACATATTACATTCTCTTCCCTTTGTACAATGGGAACAAGCAGACTCTTAGACACACCAGCTGTGCTCTGAGGAAAGCAAACAACAGGATTCACTGTCAAGGGAGGAATAGGAGAAGCATTATTTTCACCTCTCAGTCCTTGGCCTTGTAAAATACAAACCTGTCTCACATGGAAATGTGAACCTGATCCATTTTAATCCTTACTTATAACCTTGCTAGTTTGAATAGTGTTCCTGCAAACCATGACAGTATGGCCCCTAGAGCTGAATTTGTCTATAATAGGACATTTGCTTATAGTTCAATTGATTAAATTCAGTTTAGCAAGCAAAAAGATGACAGTGCAGAGGAGAAAGACTTTTGAATAGTGTGACTATTCCACTCAGTCTTGCATAGTGAGTGTGTGGTTCTGCTTAACTCCATCTGTTTTCCACCTTACTACCATTGAGCACATTGTACGTTTCGGGGATAGCCTGGTTTATACAGACACTGCTTGCAGTCCTTTTATTTTAACACACAAGAAGCAGATGGAGCAGAGTTAAGTTTTGAGGAGCAAGACAGACTTAATTTGCTAGAACCTTGGCCTTTCTCTCTCAAGAACCCAGTTGATTTTATATCTTCCAAATGAATTGCCCCCAAAAATCCAGTTTGAGATCTAAATTACTGAAACAGGATGGTTTTCTTCTTCCTGGCTCAATGAGTGAGTGCTAATTTTGGAAATCCCCTGGGTTTATTGTAACCATAGAGAATATGACACACTGGGAAAGTTGGGAGCAACTCCGTCCAGCAGGCAGATTTCAGCTGACCCAGGGCCAGCCGGAGATGCTGCTGCTTCTGTGCACCTCGCTCTTGTGGGGTTCAACTCCACGTTTCTGTGATAAGGCTACTCAGAGCCATGCTTTGTCTCGCCCATTGCTGCCTATTGAATATTTAAACCAGATCAGAGAACTCATTTTCCCTTCCCTCTGCCAGAAAATATATTGGCTTTTCTTGTGGAGACCCATCCAGAGACATTTTTCCTTATATTCTTTTATATTTGGGCAAGACTGAAAAGGTACAGGTGGTTACATTTCTTTTTTATTGTAAGTTAATATAAAATTGTGGTCCAAATGTTTTTTAAATGAAAGTAATCCATTACAAGCATTTCGGTCATCATTGCTACTCTCCAGAGATCCCTGTGAATTTGAAGGCCTACCCTTGGGTTCAGAATAACCTTGGTGGTCTCCAGGACTGAGTAGCCCTATAGTATGCTGGCCTTTCCTAGGACAGCATGGGTGGTGGCAGGTGGAATCAGAGACCATGGAGTGGTCTGGAGCAACTTCGGCTTCATGGAAGAAAGAATGGAGTGTTTGTGTCACCAACTCCAAATAACCATGTACTAGGATGTCCCCAAAGCAGTATTTAGACACCCCAGAATCTTAGAGTCTTGGATATCTAGAACATCGTGGCCTTTGGTCTTACATGAAGCTTCAGCTAAAAGATGCCCTGGTATAAAGCAAACTTAATATGAATTTAAGCCACAAAGCAGCACATCTAGCGCCTTTCTCTCTGTACCATTGGGTTAGAACAAAAGATAAAGGAAACAAACTTTAATAGTTTTATCACTTCGAATGACTACTCAAATATAAAAAAACAGAATTAGTATTGTTTTTGTAAGGGAAGATCCTTTTTAACACAGCATAATTTGAAAACTAAAATGTTTGGTTTAGTAATTTTTTTTTTTTTTTTTTTGAGACGGAGTCTTGCTCTGTGCCCCAGGCTGGAGTGCAGTGGCGCGATCTCGGCTCACTGCAAGCTCCGCCTCCCCGGGTTTATGCCATTCTCCTGCCTTAGCCTCCCGAGTAGCTGGGACTACAGGCGCCCGCCACCTCGCCCGGCTAATTTTCTTGTATTTTTAGTAGAGACGGGGTTTCACCGTGTTAGCCAGGATGGTCTCGATCTCCTGACCTCGTGATCCGCCCGTCTCGGCCTCCCAAAGTGCTGGGATTACAGGCTTGAGCCACCGCGCCCGGCCTGGTTTAGTAATTTTTAAGTTAGTTTATAGTATTGCATCAGAAAACAAATCATAAATGCATTTCATTTTTTTGAGATGGGGTCTTGCTCTGTTGCCTAGGCTAGAGTGCAGTGGCACAATCACTGCTCACTATAGCCTGGACCTCCTGAGTCAAGCGATCCTCCTGCCTCAGTCTCCTGATGAGTAGCTGTGACTACAGGCACGTGCCACCATGCTCAGTTAATTTGTGTGTGTGTGTGTTTCATAGAGACAGGGTTTTGCCATGTTGCCCAGACTGGTCTTACTCCTAGGTTCAAGTGATCTCCCACTTCAGCCTCCCAAAGTGCTGGGATTATAGGCATGAGCCACTGTGCCCAGCTCATAAATGCATTTATTAATAATATTTTTGAAAGTGCCTAGCATAATGTTTGGGATATTTAGTAGATTTCTTAGGCTTTTAATAAGTTTTTTTTTTTTTAAGTTTTCTCTAAATGAAGGTTTTGTTTCATCCAGATAGCATATACTTTGGTTTGTGCATAGTACTGCAAACAAAAAATCTTATTAGTCTTTTAAAAATCGTTTAGTTCCATTTTTGCTTTCTATTATATCCACTGACTAAAAGCTGTCTAGGAATCTCATGTTATACAAAACACACCTTAAAGCAGAGAGACAGAATTCTCTGGTATTGCTTCAAACCACTACATAAATTAATTGGTCAAATTGATTGAGTACAAAGTCTCATTAACCCAATACTTTCCATATAAATATTTTGTTTTACCCTTTACTTGAGTTTAGATATGACCAGAGACCTGGCCTAATGAGAATTAAATATTTTTTCATTTATTTTACTCTCTTAAACATTTCTGAAGATATTCATATTTCTTTCTTTTTTAAGAATCAGACTCATTCACTAAGACCTTATCAAACCTATTTATCAATATTTTCCCCAAACGAATTAAACCTTTAGTGTTGTGAATTCTGTTGTCCCTGTGTAGTTCCGATTTGGTTATTTTTCTTCGCTCCCTGAGACACGTCCTTGGCTCTAACTCTCCACGTAACTATTGTTATTGGAAGTCTGTTTTCATTTCTTTTCACACTCATACATATTCACTCAACCTTGAGGCTGACTCAAAAAGAGTTCGGGTCACTCTTTTTCTCCAGCCATTTGTTGGCCTGCTGGTCATTCATTCGGTTGGCGAACCTGGAGAATGTACCTTGTGCCATGCTTTCAGCTCACTCAAGGCCTCAAAGATGAATAAGGGAGCTTGGAGTCTAACCCACTTAGCCACTGCTTAGATGTACAGTTTCTTGTATGGCACATGGCACAGTCTGTC